ATGACGATTCATATCATCTGGATTACGCATAGCTTCTCTGCGATTTACGGCTCTGTATATTTTAAGCGTAGCTTGGACCCATCCAATACATTTTGCTGGATCCGCCACTGATTCAAGTCTAGATAAAACAGATGTTTCATGATCAATTATTGCGATCGCTCATACTTTCACCAAATTTGAAATAGAAAGAGAGAGAGAGAGGCAGGTCAAACCACCAGTATATCGGTAATTTTCACTCCAAGAATAGAATCAATGCTCCATGAGTACCGCGACTCAAACTGATGAGCAGTGAATTCAACTGCTAGTAATGAAATTTCGTTGTGTAGTCTAAATAATTCCTTGGTCTAAGTATGTCAGGTTGCATAATTCATGATGTTATCGACATAATTCCTTATACCAAATGTCTTATTTGAAGATTTTTTTACTGTGGCGTCTAAAATAGTTTATTCAGTGTGGCGTTTACAAGATTCATAGTAATACGCGTGGAATTTATAAGAGTCTATTGTATAAACGGTATAAGTTCACTAATTTGCATATATTTGCATACGAAGAGACAAATGTTGATTGACAGTAATTATACCACTCTTGGTCACATGACCCATTGTTCTGACCGTTGGTTCATTTATAAGAAGGTAGTAGGACTACCGAATAGAGGACTACTACCTTCTTTTGGTTTATTTTACTAAATCCACACATGTCTCTTTGTCTTTGTGCTAGCTGTAAACCGACGACACTTGCATTTATTCGTGCAGAGTGTAATTTCTGCGTTCACCTGCTAAGTGTACTTGCTATATTGTGTAAACCGGCATTGCCTTAGCTACGTAACTGTGGCATATTTTGTAAACTGGCATTGTCTTAGCTACGTAACTGTGGCATATTTTGTAAACTGGCATTGTCTAAGCTACGTAACTGTGGCACATTTTGTAAATCGGCATTGTCCTAGCTACGTAACTGTGGCATATTTTGTAAACGGCATTGTCTTAACTACGTAACTGTGGCATATTTTGTAAACCGTTACTGTCTTAGCTACGTAACTTTGGCGTATTTTGTAAACTGCATTGTCTTAGCTACGTAACTTCGGCATATTTTGTAAATACACTCAGCTTTCGGCCTCGTGCGTTTACAAACTGCTACGAAAGGCTATAGAATTTACAGTTGTAAACGCACTCCAACTTGTGCGATTAACTACACTAAACGAAAGCCTGAATAATCGGTAGGTCACATGACTAAAATAGATTACAGTCCACAATACAGACATACACAACTACTTACTATGCTAACCAATATTTTTTTTGGAATTTGTAAGTAAGTATAATCTAATTGTGTAGACCTGACACAACCAACTCGAGGGATATTTCACGATGATATGATAACTCGTATGCATCAAATCACTAGATCTCATGTATACTTTACTGCCTTGGGCTTTGAACGATGGTTGTAGAACCCCTCCATCTTCTCGCCCGTAAATAATAAATAACGTGTATACAACAATGCCATGAACTGTCTGTTCGTAGTAGTGTCGTCAGTTTTGAATACGATAAATTACACTACGTCTTATTATAAAGATTATCACATCATTTTATTACTATAACCATAGAAACATCGAGGGACAGACATGAATATGTGTCTCAATGATTTGCAATATAAACAATATATCCCGTGCATTTTGCATGTGCATATTGTGGGGTCAACTCTAAGTTTAACCCGATTCCGTCTATCGTGTCGGGAATATATGGCTACATGATTGCATTCGGATATATTGCTACATGATTCCGTTTATCGTGTCAGGGATGTATTGCTACATGATTCCGTCTATCGTGTCAGGGATGTATTGCTACATGATTCCGTCCATTGTGTCAGGGATGTATTGCTACATGATTCCGTCTATCGTGTCAGGGATGTATTGCTACATAATTCCGTCTATCGTGTCGGGAATATACTGCTACATGATTGCGTTCGGATGTATTGCTACATGATTCCGTCTATCGTGTCAGGAATGTATTGCTACATAATTCCGTCTATCATGTCAGGGATGTATTGCTACATGATTCCGTCTATCGTGTCAGGGATGTATTGCTACATGATTCCGTCTATCGTGTCAGGGTTGTATTGCTACATGATTCCGCCTATCGTGTCAGGGATGTATTGCTACATGATTCCGTCTATCGTGTCGGGGTTGTATTGCTACATGATTCCGTTTATCGTGTCGGGGATGTATTGGTACATGATCCCGTCTATCGTGTCAGGGATGTATTGCTACATGATTCCGTCTATCGTGTCAGGGATGTATTGCTACATGATTCCGTCTATCGCGTCAGGGATG